AGAAAGGTTTTAAACGTAAACGCACGTGGCTCTACCCGCTTCTCCTCTCGTGGCGAATGTTTCGGTGTCGCGCTTGCGAGGCTGAGGTCAGGAGGCCCCCCGCCCCGACCCCGCTGGGGAGCTGTGCTCCTCAGGGTGGGCTCTGCCCCCCGCAGACTGACTCCCGGTGGCCCAGGCCCCGAGCGTCCTTGCCCACCGCTGGCACGTGCGTGTGCCCGCATTCGCTCCCATGGCTTTGGTGGGGCTTAGAGAGTCTGCAGAGCAGTTCGGTGGGAACTGGCGTGCGGATGACGCTGGGCGTCCAGTACCGGACCGGTCCACTCACTCATTATATCGGCTTTGTTCTTTCTTCAGATCTTTCGTGATGGAAAATTTCAGACTCACAAACGTAGAGAAAATCTAACGTGAACTCCCCGGTACCCGTCCGTCCCTTCAGCGGCGCCAGCTGCGTTCATTCCTTTTCCTGCTACTTCTTACTTTTCGTTTTCGGGCGCTGTATTTAAAGAATATCCCGGGTACAACATTTCTCCTGTGAATACTTTAGTAGACAACTAACAGATAAAGATTTATTTTTAGCACAGCCACGAAATCATTATCAACCCCAACAAAATGCACATCAATTTCTTAATAAAACCTAATGCCAGTCTGTGTTCATTTTCCTACACGATCTCAAAAATGTCTTTGACCATTTCTTGCTCGAATCGGGATCCAAACAAGATCCCCACTTTGCACACGGCTGGCTTGTCTCCTCAGGCCCTTTTGATTGAAAGCAGCCCCCCCTCCCGTTCCCACGTCATATCCATTTGTTGACGAAACTGGGTCATTTGTTCCGCGTATTTTTATTCAGCTCTCCTTAATGCCGCCCCCTGGGGTTTCGTCGTTCAGAGGTCTGGCACGTCTCTTGTTGTATTTATCCTTGAGTTCTTCGTAGTTACCGGTGTGATCGTAAAGAGTAGCGTTTCCCAATCTCATTATCTCATTATTTGTTCTGGTAAAGAATGAATATAGTTGATTTTTATTATCGAATTTATATCTAGCAACGTTTCCTAACTGCCTCACTAAGTTTAATAGTGCATCTGTATATTCTTTTGGATTTTCTGCAAATGCAGCCGTACGATCCGGAAATGACGCGTCTCCCCCCCGCGCCTCACCCCGTTCATTTCTTTAAGGTGCGGTTGTTCTGGCTGGGAGACCCGGCGAATCCTGAGTGGAAGGGGTCTGGCGAGCGTCCTCGTCTTGTTCCCAGTCTCAAGGAGCGCTTTCCGTGTGTGTGACTGACTGACGTCCCCTGTGGATTACTTCAGGCACAAACCCTTTATCGCAGTAAAGGAGGCCACTCCCAGCGCGAGTTTGCTAAGATGTCCACGAGCTTAAGTGGGGTGGCGAATACCACCGAGGCTGTTTTCCTGCATCCGTTGAGTTGATCATGTCATTCTCTCCCTTCGGCCTGTTAACGTGGTGAATTAAATTGAGTTCTGAGGCTGAATAAACCCATCTTGGTCATGATACGCATCCCGTTTGGTTCACGTGGCCGGATGCCGGCTGCCACGCTGAGCTCTGGGTTTTGTATCGGTGCCGGTGAGGGAGGCTGGGCGGTCACCTTCTACTTCCACTGTCGGGCTCTGGTCACGGAAGTCAGCCGAGCCCAGGAAATGAGCCAGGGAGCGGACCTTCTGGCCCCCTTTCCTGGAAG